CTGTGAAAATTCACAACTGAACTGTGAAAAATCACAACTGAACTGTGAAAATTCACAACTGAACTGTGAAAATTCACAACTGAACTGTGAAAATTCACAACTGAACTGTGAAAATTCACAACTGAACTGTGAGCCTTCTGGGCCATCGTATAGTGATCAGTGCCGGAGTAGAAGAAAAAAGCAATGCAAGGCTTGAAAGATTTCCCGATATTTTGGTGTAAAATAAGTCTAATCGAGGTCTCCGAACGTTTAAAATCAATTAATCTAACCAGGTAAAGTCAAAAAAAAAAAAAAATCGCTGAGAAATTTAAAACCGCGTTAAGGGACGAGATTCGTCCTTGTCTACGCAAAATGCTGAATTTTCAGCTACTTTCTCGAATTTTTTGTGCTTCAGAATTATGAGTGCCCACAACTTTTAATACAGATATTTGTAGCTTAGGCTTAGTAAATTACGCTGATAACAACCATCATTCATGTAGAAGTGCCACTTTTGAAAAAAATAACTGTTTGTTTGGAGACTGAGATGTCAGCAAAAATACTATTAGCAAAGACGTTTTTCAGAGGATAAGGAAAAAACATCATAACTTTGCTTGTTTTTGAGACAAGCAAATAGTTTTTAGTTGTGAGGAAAGAAGGACGAATTATGCAGTGATTCTGAAAGAATCAAGTTGTTTCATTTAATGTGCGAATTTTAAGCAAGGATAACGTTACCCCCAAAATTTGGAGTTTCAATTTCCGGTTCTGTTTGGTTTTCGAGGTGCCTACCAAAAAAAAAAAAATACCTCTAAAAATAAAGAAAGCTACTCTGTCGAAATAAAGGCCATTTTCGTACATTGCATATGTTGCTTGACTTGCGTAGAAAAAATGAAGGCAATCCATTTTCCACGAAACTTTGAGTGGTCGGTTCTTACACGGTCACGCTCTTAATTAAGACGTGCTGACAACAAAAATTCTTCTAAGGATACAAAAATCCTGCATACACAAAAATCAGACTGACGAATAAAATAAGTATTTTTCAATTTCTCTACGAATCATAGGCTTTCTAAAGACTCTTAAAACATTTCAAGCCGCTAGTAAGAAATCAACTGGAATTTAGACCGGCTTATGACTTATGCTTAGAACATTGTGCCAGTCGTCGAGTATGTAAAAATTCCACAAAATTGAAATGCATCAGAATAGGAGCGAGAAAAAGCTTTTTCAATGCTCCAACGGAGTAGCTATATTCATAGTTTTCTTTTGGGTGTTATTAAGAAAACAAATGTTGTTTTTTTTAAGGTCTAAAAGAAAAGTCCTCTATCGATCGCGATTTAAAAGAATTTAGGTTTGTTTAGGCTAAGAATCGTGATTTGCAAGAAATGCGCAGATCAGTCTAAGTTCTTCTTTCCTTATTATGAAAGTATAATTTATAAGAACCAAGATCAAGGCATAAATTCAGTCCAAACTCGTTGCTATGTAATTCTAACTTGTTCCTGATTATCTTGAATCAAGTAATGTCAATAATTGTCAGCTGCGTTAATTGTCCTTAAGCTTGGGAGGCTCAGAATACCACGACTGTCAAGAATTCTATATAAGACTGAGAACTAACAGTTAGCAGTCTTCGACGTTACAGTTTCGATTAAATAACACCAGACCTCTTCCTGTAACTTTCAGGAGCGAGATATTCAACAGTTTTGTCCATGTGCCTGAATTGTTATTATAAAGATCATTTTCACCAAGGGCGACGGCGAGATTTAATAATAGCGTGCAGTTCATGCTTGCAACGCATCAACCATTGTGATACCTTCCTAAATTTCGTTACTATAAATTCCTGATGCTCTAGTTTACTCCATCCAAGAATTGTATAGTAGATGTTCAAGTTTAACTGTATGCTCAGAGGTACCTAATTACCAAAACGTCGTGAAGAAAACTTCGTTCAGAGCAGAGTTTTCAGTGATTTTGGGATCCCAACCGTTGAGAAATAATTCGCTGGACGACCAGCCGCTGATTAAGGTAAACTTTGTTATGTTAAGGTTTTCTGTGAAGTTCCGCCGCTCAAACAGTTCCTTAATTATCATATGAGGAAGAATCCACGGGCTTTTGTCGGATCTGTAGGTCATTTGAAGTATTTGATTCCACTGAGGCAGTTTTTATTTCCTTTGAACTCGGCTACCGTGAACCTTCTGTCCTTTAACTATTTACCTTTAGACCTGACATTTTTTTTTTAAAAAGTCCAACAACCAAAAAAAAACAAAAACAAAAACACACACACACGCAGTTCGTATAGGACCCATCTATTTATATACCAGAGAACCAGAAACACGTTCTTACCTTAAAGCATAAGTTACAATGAAGTGCCAGTTCGAAGATAAATTTACATCAAGGATCGATTCTGAACTGTTCATTTGCTAAAAGAAAATGAAATTCGTGGATAACTGTTTATTCTCATTTTAACGTATACTCTCAGAGGAGGACAACAAGTGCTATTATTTGACAAAATGCCACAGCCTGCGATTATAATTTGCGATAGCCGTTAGAAAAAAGAGTGGAGTTTTTAAGTTTTCAAAACTGTTTTGACACAAATGTCTGTCATAATCAATTACAACTTGCGTTATGTTTGAATAATGCTGACTTAAATACAGGTTTGTCACATTACGTGCTTTACTTTTACAAATGAAACTACGTAACTACTCCGACTAGAGTGAAGACGGTGGAGTTTCGTGGCGAGCGAGGAAGCCGCGAGAACATGACGGTCACAAAAGGAAGAGGGAGAAATCTCCTCCCTTCTCACCATTTTTCTCGCGGCTTCTATCGCCTTCGCCGCTCGTTCCGCGCCACGAAACCGCCAGCTACGCAGGCTAAAACTTTAACAACTGCAGAACAGGCGGAATTTCCGAGGTAAGGCACGAAACGTGATACACGAGCGCGGAGCGCTAGTCGAAAACAATCCGCCTGTAGTCACAACATTGTCTATGCTATACCGTCCCCTTGAAATGATTGAAGTGAAAGACTTAGAGAGAACCAATCAAAAAAAAAATACAATAAAAAAAATAAATAAATAAAGAGGAAGAAAAGAAATTCAATTTAATGGCTCGAAAAATGTCTCAAGTAACCGACAGACTCAACAGACAGACGTCTGTCTCATCATGTTGTGACAGAACGAACAAAGGAGGTATAAACCTAAACGAGCTCAAAAGACGAAAAGCGCAAGCAAACATATCTTTGACAACACAGGACGACTCTCTTAGCCTGATTCTCGAAGTAAAGCTACAGCAGTCTCTGAGGACGGGGGGTAACGCAAATATGAAATCCTTGCTAACAAGTGACATAAATTGCCACAGTTTTAATCTAACAAACGGGCCCGGCATCACATTATAGAATGCAACGAAATTAAACATCCTGCAATAGGAATTAATTGGACAAAACAAGGTAAATTTAAAGCACATACAAATTACACAGGTGTCAAACTCTACAGAGCGACAGAAACCGACCTATGACCTAGAAAACTTTGCCTATGCCACAGTCGAACGGCTCTGTTCTACCTTTTAAGAAGTCACCTTCACAACAACATAACGTGCCTTTGAGAAACAAGTGAGGAGCAAGTATCACAAGCCGTAGGAGTGGGTGAAGGCCTGTCAACCCAATTTAAGATATGCATGCGCAAAGGAACAGAAACCACTATTCAGGGCAAAAGTCTCAGCGCTTAAAATGTGGCCGGAAACTAACAATTCACAGTGTCCTTGCTAAGATTTTCGTACAAATACAATGAATAAATCGCGCTTTTGGAAAATTTTCCAACATTTTACGATTTTGTCAACAAATATTACATTTCCGAATGAAGTTTAACAATTCGGCCATCGTTAATTTTATGCACATGCAATATATTTAAGCTGAAATTCTAGAATTTTGGCGGTGTACCATTAAGACTAAGAAACTAAGAATAGAGGGTTAGCAAGAGGATCTTCACGATGTGACTATGATGTAGAACATTCAGAACCTTAAGAGTTTCCCTTCACCGTTGCGGAAACAGTCAACTTGTAGGTAGCTGTCATAGAGAACGATGAACTGATAGACAGTTCGACTTATCATTACCTCCTCAAATTTTTTCGGAGAGAAATCAATCTTGGAAGAAGGGGAAAACAGAGAAAATAATGTAATCAAATATTGACATTAAACACAGTTTTGATCATCATTAACCCAGAAATCAAAAAGAAAAATTTTGTCCTACATTTGCTTAATTAATGTCGTGTACTGCACGGTTATATTATGCCGTTGTATACTTCAAGGTTATATTGTGCTGTTTTTAAGCCAAGCGGTACCTCCCTAGATACTGTCTGTGTCATCTGTGACTGGCCAGAGTGATTACTTTCGTTTGGGTTTAACCGCCCTCAACTGAAAACCTGTTTAATACAAAACCGTAACAGGAAAAACCGCGCGAACAGTAATTATTTGGAAGCAAAAGCGGCAAACCACTTAGGTTATTATGGTAGCTCTTTTTAAATAATCTGCACAGAACTTCATAAACTCTTTCCCTAAAAATCAAAGTTCTTCGGGAGTAACTAGACGCCAGTGAAATATTTCAGTTGGCACAAATAGGTGGTAACCATTCTTTAGTCAAGTAGCCATATTAATACAAAACATCGTTATTAAAATTGATCCATTGTACATTACTTGGAAGATTTTAGGGAAGATCGAAATTTCGGACAAAAAAGAGCCCGAAATAAAAACCATCCACTTTTAAGGTGATCTTTGTTTTATGAAACAACTCTTGTTTTATAAAACAACTCTGTGGGACAGTTTTGGTACTACGTTAAAGGACTTAACAGACTGACTTCAAGAATGGGCTGCTGTCATATGCAACAGTAGTTAATGAATAGCTACCCCCTAAGTTTTGGCCTCGCAGGACTAAGCTCGTAACCTTGAAATTTTCGATTTTCCTAGTAGCGTACCTTTTAGAGAAGGAATACTACTCCACTAAAAACTAGGTAAACTAAATCCAAACAGATAATCGGTTTTTCATCAAATAAAAGAAACCTTTTGAACGAAGTAATACTACCGACGTCCTAACTGAGGGGACATAATTGATGATTTTGAAAAGTGATGTTTAATTCAGTGTTTATCGCGTGAACTTACTCTACCGTAGATACATGGATTACCAAATAACTTTCAATCAAGGCTTTACTTATTTAATTCACTTTGGTTGACAAGCCTTCGGCTGCTATATCCATTATGTAATTAAGCAATAGACCACAAGTTTTCTGGTTTATAGGCTGATAAACCACGCGGGATGTTGAAAGAACACGAGAAGAATTCGTAAATCACGAGCCGCAGGGAGTGATTTGCGAATTCTTCTCGTGTTCTTCCAACATCCCAAGTAAATTGTCAGCCTATAAACCATAAAAACTTGTGGTCTATTGCTTTTGTATGATAATTCAAAAGACACGCGAAATTTCCATGAGTTTACTGGCACAATAAACCATAGCTGATTCACCAATCAGAGCGCGCGCATTCATTTAATTATTATATAAATGGTAATAACCACTAGGGTTTGCACACGTGTCCTTTGGTTAGATATTTTTTTTTACATTTGTTTACAATACTAACCTTACTTACATTGTTAACATTACCAAAGCACTTACCATAGCAAAAAAATTTTACAATATATACTAATGTTACTTACAGTACTAACATTGCTAAATAGCTTACAGTACTGCGCATGCCTTACTCAAGATCTTTTTATTTTACGCCGCCATATGACTTAACAAAATTCCAGTAAATCCGACATATTTTTAACTTGCCACTTTATCAGTAGGTTAGAAACATTGTAAATTGATGGAAAACTAGTCCAAAATAATAAGGAAATCTATAAGAGTACTAAATCATCACTGATGTTCAAGAATTCTGAGAATCAGTTAACTCATCAAAATGTTTTTAAGTGACAGATCATATTCTCTTGGTGACAATGAAAAGCTACTGAAAGTCTCAGCATCAGAAAGTACATCTTCTTGACGCAATTAAAAAAAAATAGAAGGGTGGCATCCACCCGCTATCCCCCCATAAGCCCGAGGTTTGATTGATAATTGAAACTTATATCAAAACTCGCATCTGCAAGTCAATTAGGTTACAGTTTGTTTCCTTTATCTATTACTTGTATGTCAGTCGTGGCTGGTAAAGTTTCTAGCCCTTTCTAGCAGTCATAATACTTTGATGGATTCGGACTTTGTCACGTAAGTTTACAATGTTGATATCACACTAACGGGCAATCATTGGTGAGCAAGTTGTAATCAACTGAATAGCATAAAGCGTACCATATCAAAGACACAACCTGTTTAAATCACCCTTAATGGCAGGTTAAAGTATTTATGATTAAAAAACCACGAGGTAAAACTCATCGAATTGTGATAAGGTTGTTGAAATACAACTTTTTGAAAAGTTTAAAAAGTTCTATAGGTAGGGTTCAGCGCCAACTTAAATTTTTGAAAACTTGAATCGACAAGGCTCTGTAGCAGGAAACTTTTGCCAGCCACGTTAATTATAAACGCACTTACAGCTTTGCCTACATAGGATAACATTTAGGGATACGATTTCTGTTTGTGTACCTACGTGCCGTTTTTTTTGTTGACGTTCTTGGCCATCTCAAGATCGTTATCATTTATCCCCATTGTCTTTTTGTCATCTTGTTCTCTTTCTTCAAGATTGACATCAATAACTCTACTGTCTTTGACAATAGCTGGAACTGTGGTAAGTTCAAACTCCCCAGTTTAAAGCTGGGTTTTAAGAGTGCCTGCCTGTAAAAATCAGACAAATTCTTAATTTCGCGGCAAGGGTCGAAAATTCGAT